AATATTTAATTTTTCTTAAAAAAATATTTTTAACACTTTGTTTTAAGTGTATAATGAATTTCTTAACAAACTTTTTTTTTAATTTTTTAAATTTTCTTTCAATAATTTCAGCTAGATATCTTTATAAAATTCCCTTTTTATTTTTAAACTGAGAAATCTTTCAGAGAACGAAAATTTTAAGAAATTATTACAAATCTTATGTTTACTTTTTAGTTTAAAATTCGAACATTTTTAATTTTAAACTTCGGCTTTTAGTCAATCTAACTTTTATTTTAATTAAAATATATTTTGAAATTTTAAAATCAGCCTTTGTTTAATAACAATATTTTTTTTCATTAAGGGTGTTTTAGGGGTTAACTTAAATTAAGACTGCTTATACCTTATAAACGATAAAGAAGTGCAAATATTTCATTCTGTATCTACACACACTTTTTCAATAAATATTTTAAGTAAGATTTGTACATCTTAGTCAATTTATTTAATATCTTTCTTCAGCAAAACATATATATTTTCAAATTTATAAATTGATTTAAATCAATATGCGTATGAAGTCTTGATAGAAATCTGACTTTCTGTGCCTTAAAGTAAATGAAATTCAAAAATACTATATCGCGATACATCGCTATATCGCGATGCAAAACTGACGATATATCACGATATATAATTTCTAATATCGCCCAGTCCTAGTCATGAAGTTATTGTTTTCCTCCATATATTTTTGCATCCCTAATTTAAAGGTATTTATACCTGTACTGATATTATAACGTTTTTGATTTTTTTCCTTCTAAATTACGAGTTTAAGAGGATTGTTTTTAGTATTATTATTGTTAGGGTAACTTGATTCAACGTGACCTTTAAGATAAAGTTGTTTAAATCTGCATCTGATCTTATTAGCCGTTTTACAATTACATTATTCCTTTTTGCAAATTACATTAATATACTATTATGAATTGCGGTTAAAGAGATTCGTTAAATGATTCAGAACTTAACTGTCAGCTTCACGCACAAGGAGATGAATGCAAAAAATTGTAATTAAAATATTCCTCCGTTCGCTTGGTAAGCAAAAATATTAAATGACAGTTTGTGAACTCACCAAATGTGTTATAACAATATACTTTTAATTGGGTTCAGAAAAGAAGAAAATTTGAAGATGACCCGCAGAGCTCAAATAAATCTTGATAGGCTAAATTAAGCCTCACCTATTGAAACGCAGTGCTATAAGCGAAAGCAGAGAGCACGCCGCACTTTACTATATTCAATACTCAATACTTTTAAATGTTATTTCAAAAAATGATTACTTAGAAAAATGATTTATGTTTACTAATAGATCTCAATAGTTTCATAAGGGAAATGTTTGGATTATGGAAGTGGCGGTAGAAGCGTTCTTTTTAGTAAACATATCTTTAGTTTAATAATTCCAACTGATTTATGACAAGAAACAGCAATTATTGCGAAGCAATCAGAGGAGTTGGTGAGCGTCAGCCAATCTAAGAGCCATAAATAGGGGCCTAGAGCTCCCTAGTACAAATAAATAAAAATCAAAATGGAGAAAGAGTACGTACCTTTCTTTGCATATTTTGACTGTTTTATCTACAATGTTTTTCAGTTCGATTAATTTAGTCCCTCGGAAGACTCCATCTAATGCATAGAAAATGAAAATTAGACATAGAAGGAAATTAACTTCCTAGTTTAAAATGTTATGCAAATTTTGTAACTATGTTACTGTGAATGACCGAAATAGGTGGTTGTTGACGTTCCACCGGTGAATGCTGACAATCACATAGTCACTTTGGTAAATATCCGAAATATATATGAGGTCTAGTTAAGTGACAGACGCCCGGTGGCTGAGTCGTAGCGCAACGTGCTCCCGTGCCATAGGTTCTGGATTCGATCCTCGGGCCGGGCAAGGGTCAATAAATGTTTACCAAGCATGCTTGGGAAGTAATTACTGGTGGTTCCGAGTTCGGCTGACCACCTAACTGGAACCCGCATCCCAGAGCCCAAGGTCAAGAAAACTGAGATGGGCACAGTAGACCTTGGCCCTCTATGGGCTGTTACTCCACTGAGTTTAGTTTAGTTAAGTGCCACTGCCCGGTATGCATTTTCCCGGTGTGCCCTACATCAATGTTTTTTAAGGTCAAGTTCCACTGCTCAGTATGCATTTAACCGGTACTCAGAACACTGAGGTTTCTCCTAATCTATCCTCAGCAGATATTAAAATATCAAGGAATAAATTAATATCAAATCGGATATAACAAATATTTCGGACATTCACCAAAGCGACTATGCTGACATTCACCGATGAAAGTCGGCATTCTCTTGTTTTCGGTCACTCAAGGTAACAACTGCATACATTCGATCTGAGTTAATAACATTCAAAGGATACGCAGATGAAATTGCAAAATTCATCTGAGATGATCTGGTTTGGATGACCATTTGATTTGGATAACCTCCTGGTTTGACTGACCATCTGGTTTGGATGACTTTCTGGGTTTACACTCAGCAATGGATTTGGGATTATTTTCGGCAACTTTGTCTTTAACATTGATTTTCAAATGTTTCTGCTTTCCTTTATGTTAACAAATAGAACAGGTCTTATATGTTTATAAAATAGAACAATGTTTGCAATACCTGCCGTGACAATGACTTTGCAATTCCCGTCTAACACTCGATCAGCTAAAGCTTCAGCAGAATAACCACCGAACTGAAAAAAAAAAGATACGGAGGATGTTTAAAATGATTATATTTTTTTGTAAGTAGTAATTTCTACATTCCTCCTACTCCTTCCCCTTCTCAATTTTTGTCTTGCATTTTGTCTTGCGCATTTCAGTAAGAAGTTAAAATGCATTAAGTACTACAAAGAGTACAAAGAGACGCTATTTGTGGTATTTTCATGGCCTATATTCTCCTCTGTCATTAAAAGTATAGAGAAAAAGAGAGTTCCAGTAAAGCAGGACGTCCATAACGCTGGAAAAAAATATCAATATGCAAATAAATTATTGCAGTATTACTTTCCTACTGTGTAAATCCTAAATAAATCCTGCGATAATTTGCTTGCATTTTGATACTCGAATGATTTAAAACTTTCTGGTTTTAATATAGGTTTACATGAACTCTTTTTTTTCTGCTCTTTGGATTTGAAATTACTTATGTTGGTAGAAGCGGTATGGATGGTTGACTGAATGTAAACAATAACAATCTTCCTATAATACCGGAAGAAATTTATATAACTTCCGGTGTATCCCTCCGCTTATGTTATGCTTACGAGGCAATGTGTGAACAGGCTTTATATTCTGGGAAGTTTTATAATTGTGATTTGTGTTTGAATTTACGAGTAATTTTACTATTTATAAGAGTTACGTGCAATTTATAAATTCTAACAGGTCGTAAGCGAGCCTAAAAAAAAATTAAGAAAATTAATATCACAGCATAAAAAAAAGTGTTAGGTTTGCCATGTTTTGAGTGTTATTTGGCTATATTTGTGTAAAATATTTATTATTTTTGGGTAGTATCATATTTATTATTTTTTGGGTAGTATCATATCAAGCCAGAGGAGTCTTCCGAATTCATTTGTTGTTTGTTTCGTTGAAATTTAAAATGAAAGAACGCGTTATATTTTGAACACTACAAGTATGATGATATTGGAAGTCGTTTTTTCAAGCTTAGGCATAAAAATCAGCCGGAAGCAGTAACCCGGAAGTATTACGATAAATTTTAACCCATCTGCACTTAGCTTTACGCTGTCAACCATCCATGGCATGCTCTTAGTCAGCGCTTTTTTCTCAACTGGTGGTCGAAATTAGAACTAATTCTTGTTCTAGATTTCCTCATGGTCTGCATAATTTACATATCAAGTTTCTTCTGTACACCAGATCAGGGTCGATAAAGAGTATGGGAAAAGGTTAAAAGAATATTTACCACAACAGAATGGACAGCACCGATTCTTGCACAGGCAAACATACTAATAACCAATTCTAAGATCATCGGCATGTACATGGCCACCATGTCCCCTTTCTTAACTCCTGCAATAATAAAAGAAAGGATGTTTTTCGATCATGAATGACTTATTGTTTAAGTTGGATTGTTTTGGGAGGAAAGTCTGCAGTGTTTTCCCAATCAGCCTGGAACGTTCTAGGATTATTGCAATGATCTCGCATAATTTTAAACTAATTAGAAAATCCATCACACGTGATTCAATCAATCTAATTTATTTCAGACCGTTTGCAATAAAGTGAAGGCTTATTGAATATAGCCTTATTTTCAGAATTTATTGCAATCAGGCCAGAGCAAGTTCAGTCTGATTGAGTAATTCTTTTGCACATTTCTTAATTAGCCCAAATGCAGGAAGGCTGATTATAAAAACTCTAAAGGCATATTAGAAAATATAGAAGACTTTTCTAACTTTCCGGACGCATTGCAAAATGCCAAAGAGTCAGATTTTTCAATAATAACTTATTGTTCGTTATAACTTGTTATAACTTGAGTATTCGTTTATCCTAGCCTAGCCTAAATTATTCAATTAGCAACAATGACCTTCCTAGAGTATTCACTCAGCCTACATTATTCAATTAGCAATAATGACCTTCCTAGAGTATTCACTCAGTCTACATTATTCAGTTAGCAATAATGACCTTCCTAGAGTATTCACTCAGCCTACATTATACAATTAGCAATAATGACTTTCCTAGAGTATTCACCCAGCCTACATTATTCAATTAGCAATAATGACCTTCCTAGAGTATTCACTCAGCCTACATTATTCAATTGGAAATAATAATGAAGAAATATTATTAAAACATGTTCTCAATTGGAATGCTAACAATAGCATCGAGTGCAACAGATAGATTTTAAAGCATTGCTCTGAGGCCAATTGAATGGTTCGTAAATTATTAACAAATAAACTCTTCGCGATTGCAGTGTTTGTCGCAATTTGAACTCGCGTTTCGAAATGAGTCCAGAATTAATTAGATTTATGGGTTTAAGAATTAAGAAAACGAAGCAAAAAAATAATAGAAAATCGAACTTTGAAGTGCAATTTTCACAGTCTGTTATGAAAACAAATATAAAAATATTTAAAAAAAAAGTGTGATAGTTTTATTACGATCACTGGTTACTCACTGGTCAAATGCTTTGTCTTTCTGGATTGACTCCGTTAAACATTTCAAATCATGGGTTGCAAAAACTGTCTCCAATTGATGTTTGTCTTCGGATTGGTTTTCAAATCCTGGCTATATACGTGTTTCAAGACGTCACAAAATGCTTTTCCTACTTCAGCATTCATATTATTATTAAAATCACCGTCAAGCCAGTCATTATACGTTAATAATAAAAAGAGTATAAAAAATACTTTAAATTATCATTATGTAAATACATTAAAAATGCTTGCTAATGAGAAGGAAAAGAAAAACAGCAGCGGTCACCATGGCAACGCATGCAATGACGACGCATGCGCACTGTTTACTATTACTCTCGAACACAATTGAAAAGAGCGTGAACGCCATCCAATCCAAACCAAGATTCATTTTTCCAATAAGTAATAATAAAATTTAATTTTCGAATCTATTGATTAAAATTTTACAGCACGATTCTATTAACAAAACATTTACCCTTTTTTACGAGTTTCGTCTTTCATTATTTTTAATACCTAATGCACTGTCTTTTATAACTTAACAATAAAATTTACCTTTGGATTTAAGGATGTTCGCAAATTTGCACACCCTTCTTAAAAGCTCTCTGTAAGTTATTTTGTCTGAATCCAAGGGATCATTTCCTTCCCTGAAAAAGAAATAATAATTTACAGTGTGCAGATAACTTTTAATCTAATGATTGGATTCTCATAAGCAATCTTAATGGACCTTAAGCAGAAATTAACTTATCTTACAGTCCCAGGCCAAAATATTAGACGCACTATAAGATTCAAGTGATACTATACAGCTTTATTGTTTTTATTTGACTGAAACCGGTTTGCACTTGTTTACGTTAGTGTATCAATTGGTTAAATTAGACAATATATAATATAAATTCGACGATAGGATAAATTAGACGATGTATTATATAAATATAGAATATTTATTATATTAAGTATTATATTATAATAATTAGATCGAATTATTAGACCCATTGTAGTTTTTTAATAATTACACAATTTTATAGGTAATACTTTTATATTTAAACATGCATGGTAATGGGTTTTTATGTAGGAGATTTTTTATATACTTCCTATTTGTATTTATTTTTAACGTATTGCATTACAATGTTAACCCATTGATACAGGAGCGTAAACAAGTGCAAACCGGTTTCATCCGAGTGAAAACAATACAGCTGTATAGTATCACCTGATAGTTATTATTTTACATAGAATATTATAGTGAGTCTAATAAAGTGGCCAGGGACTCTAAATAATTTTTCATTGACCTGAAATGTTAAATCTTGCAGACGATATCTTAAGTTAAAAATCAGACATGAAAACATATTTTTTCTAAATAAGCATAGCTATTTATCAAAGGAAGAAAATTATTAATATAACTTGAAGCATATAGATAGATCGAATTTTTCGTACAATAAAAAATTCAAAGCATGTAACATTATAATCATCTTAATTTTATTTTATTACTTTTAAATTAAAAGTACCTTGTTTTAGTATATATCTATCTATATTATATAAAACGCTAATACGTATGTATGTATCAATAAAACCGATGATATTTCTTTTCTAGCGTAGGCAACAGTTTTTATTTTTAATTGATAGGCTTCGGCGCGCAAGAGCACGTAGTGAGCATTATATGGCTAATCTATATTATATAAAGCGCTAATACGTTTTAATTTATGGCTTCGACGGGCAAGAGCACGTAGTGAGCATCATATGGTTAGTTGGGTGAATTCTCACCGAATTATCAAAAAAATTCTCACAAAATTATCTTCATCGAAGCCGATGCTTTACATCCGGCGTTCAGTACTATTTCATATTGTTTTACAACACATGGTTTTAGCCCTCTGGTGGGAAAGACTTTAAAACAAAACTTACAACAGTTACTTTTCTCAACAACTGAAATTTAGAATAGTGTGATTAAGAAAAATATGCGAACTGTTTGCAATTTCAAATTAATATTGAAATGCACAGGTTTAGAATTTTCTATAGTGAAAAGTTTCCGGAACTGCAGTGTTCAAAAAAGTATACAAAGGCTAGACTTTAAGAACGTATCCAATGAGCGAGCAAAGCGAGCATCGGATTGCGAAGCAATCCGAAATGAACTGCCAAGGCAGTTCCAGGGGTTGGCGAGCGCCAGCGAGCAGGGAGCGAAGCCTCCTAGTTTTACTTTATTTTAATATTTATCTGAAAAATCCTATTTCTTGGACTTTTCATTTGAAGCTAGATAATGATTAAACAGTTATACAATAGTTTGAAAATTGAAACAGTGGGTTAAAGATTATTCTTCAAAAGAACCAGAAACCCAAGTCAAGAGTTTTGATGATCTCATCAAAAAAGTTTGATGGTTTATACGCTGGTTTCAGTGCGAATCATGATGGTTTTACATGATTTGATGGTCCCCATCATCTAGCATTTTCCATTATGCGTTAATGGTGTTTGATATGTCAACAAACTTCCAACATTCCATGATGGAAAATGCTATTTTAATATGATGGTTAACCATCAAGAGAAGTTTGATTCTCATGGACCAATAATCCATGATGGTCTATGATGGTTCCAATTATACATTTCCATGATGGTTTAATAGGAATTCTTTTAATTGAATTTAATCTCTACACACCTTAAATACACATAATGTAACTAAAAAATGTTAATCTGCTTAAATATTTTTTTGTTGAAGAGAAATATTAGCGTCATTTACACTCATTGCTATTTTAAAAATTATAAGCCTTTATTAAACGTTAAAATTGACAGTTACGGACTAAAGACCGTCCGACACTGATAGTTTTTAATTTCGATTATTATTTTTTTTAATATTTATAAAAACAATAAAACTTGAAGTAAGTTTAAATGACCCGAAGAGTTATTTCAGAAAACTATTAAAACAGCTATCGCTCTCCCCCCCTAAAGTAGCATAAAATGAATTATTTAAAAAATACCGAAAAACAATCCCTCTAATTTTCGTACAACTTAAAGAGGCAAAATCTCCCCGTTCTAGCAACAAATGTTATAAAAAAATTTTCTATTATCCCCTCAGAAGATAATTAACGCACAGTGGACCAGCATCCAAGGTTTCGTGGCCAAAATTAGTATTTCGATAAAATTCGTTTCAAAATTTTGGGTTTTTCATGTGGAGGTAAATTGAATTCATAGTTGAAATTTTGAAATACACTGAAAATACCCAAATAAAAAACAAAATGGCGGCTGAAATAGGGCGAGCAAAAATAAAAATAAAAATAATATAGTGCGCTTAAATAATTAAATATAGCAATGAAAATATAGTAATTTTCGTAATTTTATATTAAAAATGAAAAGCAAATTCTATTTCCGAAGTAATATTACAAATAAACGCGGATACATGAAAAAAAAAACAACATAATTTTTGTTTTTCGGTATATTTAGCCCACCTTTGTAATACGGGCAAAATGGGCAGGTTTTTTCGAACGAAACATCAAAGAAGATAACAACAAAAAAGTTTAGCTAATTACCTCGTGGAACTTTTTGGAACTAATTTTCGAAAGTCATTCAAACATTGTAAAATGTCAAATGATACGATATAAACTATAAGTTTGTCAAGAGTATTAACTAAACCAACACATTGAAAAATTGTACTATCATTTCAGACTAATTACTCTGTTAAAAATGCAACAGTAAGGTGAAATTCCTACATATATTTCTGAAATAAAAATTTAAAAGTTAAATTTAAAAAAATTTTTTTAACTTATTTTTCATTAAATTGTACTCTTGTCGGTCCAAAAAGTAAATTATAATGTTTGGAATGATGATGAATACTTAATTTGGGCTATATTAAAACTGCCTACACATATTTTAGTTGAAAATTTAATTTTTGACTTTTGGCCAGGTCTTCTGGCCCACAGTGTAACGGTAAGATAAACCTCCCCAGCAAAATCAAATTCTTGAAAAGGCCTTAGTGTTCAGATCTTGAAAAGCTGAGGGCCTTAGGTTTATAACTCTTTTTTTTTGTTGTTGCTTTATCCATTCGATTCAGAATCGGATAAAAAAAAGGCTAGGAAATTTAATCTTGTTTCCAAATAACCTTGTTCTCGCACACGTGTCTTAAGTGCCCTTTAAACTTGAAAATCTAGACGCTTAACTTTGAATTTTTGTGCCTCGCAGACTTTATCGGTCAAACGTGAAGAAAATAGATTGCCAGCTATTATTTAATTACACAGCCTAATGAAGTGTTTATTTGAAATATTAAATGCGTTGACAGACTGTGAGACGCCGGACGCATCAATCAATCATCGACAGTATTTTATTTCTTTTTAATTCATCTTACATACTTAATCCTCTTTCTATAAGACAAAAGTAAGGAATTTTGTTAATGGCTACTTGCCAGCAGTAGTAATTTTAATAGTGATCACTTCTGAAAGCGTGTGGTGACTTTAAAAATTTTTTTTTAAGTTATACTTATGCGACTTTCAACAAGGTTGCGTTAAACGCTGCATTTTTATTGGCCGGCAAATCACGTGGTAGGATCCAGTTTTCCCTCATTCATTTCCATATTGTTTTGGTTCTCACTAGCATAAAAATAATAAAAGTCATAAAATGTATTGCTTTTCTATAAATATTTTTTTTAGTTTGTTTGATACACATCTATCTATATATATATTTCTCTTACACGGCACCAAAAAAAAAGCCTCATTACTACTCCCCGAATGGCAACGTTAGAAAATCGACCAATGATTGCTGCTAAAAATGTCACATGAGGTGGCTCAACATATAGCTCTTTTAAAAACGGAAACAATAACCAGAGTGAGCATTATCAGGTTGTTCAATTCAGATTCATGCCCTATAAACATGATAATATTTAATTTAAACTTTGTTTTAGTATATATCTAT